GAAGATGGATCGCGAATCTCTTTGTGCAAAAACAACTCCGTGTGCATTGCATCTTCAAATGATTTTGGAAAACCCGATGGAATTATACACGATTACAATAGAAATCACGGATATAAATGATAACGCTCCCAGTTTCCAGAAAAAGGACTTCAGATTTGAGATCAGCGAATCGGCGGTGGCGGATGCTGGTTTTATGCTCGGGAGAGCTTTCGATCCAGATGTAGGATCAAATGCTCTACAGAGCTACTCGCTAAAACCGAGTGAACAATTCCGGCTTGGATTGCACAATCAGGCAGACGGCAGTAAAAACGTCGAGATGATTTTACAAAGACCACTTGATAGAGAAACGCAAAGCTCATTTACTTTGTTGTTAGAAGCGTTTGATGGAGGCGATCCGGTGCTTTCTGGCACTGTACAGATACACATCACTGTGTTAGATATTAATGATAATGCTCCTGTTTTTATGCAAAAAGTATATAAAACCACCATAACAGAAAACGCACCAAAAGGTACTGTACTAACAGTCGTGAGCGCGTCTGATGCAGACGAAGGATCCAACAGTGTACTGACGTACTACATATCTGACACAATGGACAGTAATGTGGCCGACGTGTTTCTTGTTAAAGAGCAAACTGGTGAATTAATATTAAACGGCCATGTTGACTATGAAAAGGTGAGCCATTTTGAACTTAATATTCAGGCAAAAGATCAAGGAGGACTTTCTAACGCGTGCAAAGTAATTATTGATGTGCTGGATATTAATGATAATTCGCCTAGTATTCAGATTCTGTCCAGTTCCCACTCCATACCTGAAGATTCTAAGTCTGGTACTGTTGTTGCAATGCTAAATGTTGATGATCTTGATTCAGGTGTAAATGGGCAGGTTCAGTGTATCATAAATGAGAATATTCCCTTTGCAATAACATCTCAGTCTAGCTTCTTCAGCTTGCAAACAGAGCAGGAATTGGACAGAGAGAGAGAAGCTGTGTACGATATCAGTGTAATATGTACTGATGAGGGAGTGCCAGCGCTCTTCACCAATGTCTCTCTTCGTGTGCAGATATCAGATGTGAATGACAATGCTCCTGTATTTGAGAAAAGTCACTATGAGGCCTGTGTGCTGGAGAATAACACACCCGGTCTCTCTATATTTACAGTTAAAGCCAGTGATGCTGATTGGAATCAGAATGCCCGTGTTTCTTATATTCTAGAAGACAGCACTGTTAATGGAGTCTCTGTCTCATCATATGTGTCAGTTCACCCTGACAGCGGACTGATCACAGCTGTGCGCTCTTTTGACTACGAACAGCTGAAAGATTTCCACTTCCGGGTAAAAGCGCAAGATGGAGGCTCTCCTCCGCTCAGCAGTAACGTGACAGTGAAAATTACTATTAAAGACCAGAATGACAACGCTCCTCAGGTTCTGTATCCAGTACAAACTGGTGTTTCTGTGGTGGCTGAGATTGTGCCTCGTGCTGCAGATGTTGGATATCTGGTCACTAAAGTGGTGGCTGTTGATGTGGACTCTGGACAGAATGCCTGGCTCTCCTATAAACTACAGAAAGCTACAGACAGAGCGCTGTTTGAAGTGGGTTTACAGAATGGAGAAATAAGGACTGTGCGACAAGTGACTGATAAAGATGCGGTGAAACAAAAACTCACTGTTGTTGTGGAGGATAATGGACAGCCTTCTCGCTCAGCTGTGGTCTCCATTAATGTGGCTGTGGCTGACAGCTTTCCTGAAGTGCTGTCAGAATTCACAGACTTTACGCATGAAAAACTTTACGACGAGAACCTGACTTTTTATTTAGTTCTTTCACTAGCTGCTGTTTCTCTCTTATTTATATATTGCATGGTTGTCATAATATCAGTAAAGATCTACAGATGGAGACAATCTCGCTTCTTATATCAGCCCAATCTGCCTGTTATCCCGTACTATCCACCGCATTACGCAGACACAGGAGTCACTGGAACTCTGCCGCACGGGTATAATTATGAAGTGTGCATGACGACTGACTCGAGGAAGAGTGACTGTAAGTTTTCTACACTCGGTGGTCAGAATGTTTTAGTGGTGGACCCGAGTTTCGCTGAGACGATGCAGCACACAATCAAGAAAAACAGTTCCATCGACGATCTCGGCTCTGCAGAATCGGTAAGAAAGTTTTCGTTAGACCATTATTATTATTATTATTATTATTATTATTATTATTATTTTTTTTTTTTATTATTATTTTTTTTTATTATTATTATTTATTAAGGGAAAATACAAGTAATATGGTTGCTCAAGTAGATTATAAATAAATAAATAGGCTTGGAGAACTGAGCGATTACGTGTTCACATGTAGTTTTAGGTTTTGGATAAACAATTACTTACACAACTTTTTTTTTCTAATAAATGCATCTCAAACTTTTGCACAAGTCTCAACAATGTTGAAAAAACATTGTTTTTCATTGTTCTGTTGCTTATTACTAGTATTGGTTAAATTTACTCAAGATCGTATCAAACTATAAACTAAAAAGCTGTAAAGTTTAGGACTGGTGCCTGTAATGTTGAATGTTTGTTCGAAAAGGAAATGAAACTCTTAAGTGTGCCTGACGGTCACACAGTTTGTTCTTGCAAATTTTGGGATGCGTTGTAAGACTCAGAGAATTTTTTTATGTAGTCGAAATAGCTTTAGTGGTAGACCAATGAGTCACTATAAGATTGCATTTCGTTAAGTGTGGTATTTTTGATGTAGGCTGCGTGTAAAAAAACAAAACATTATAACAAAGTGAACTATTGGAAATTACGTAATTAATTTGGTACAATGCAGAGGCATTTTTACACATTTCAGCACCCCCTTTGTTGAACAGCGCCTCATTTGATGAAATCTGCTACTGGTAAACAGAGGACTGTGGTCTTCATTATGTGCTTTAATTGAAAGTGTTATACTTTTGCTAAAATGCATTCAGGTTTATTCTTCACGTTTGCCTTTATAGACATTGATTTAATCGTCGGGGAATTCAGATGACTGGTTTTACTTGAGTAATAGGCCTAGAAAACAATACATGCCGTTGCTAAAATTCTCTTTAGGCATAAATATATAAACTTGATTTGCAATTCCTAATTTACACTCAGAGGGCCGCTGTTCATCGACAAATGGACGAGAAACTGTATTTTACACACCCACCCCCAGCATCACATAATATCAGAGAGAAAGGAAGAAAAGCTACCGTCTCAGAAATTATTTTCTTGCACGGATTGTCTGCAAAAAACTCGTTGGCGAGTACACACATAATTCAAGTGAATACATTTTAATTTAATTTTATAGACTTAAAGGATACACTGATAGATGATTGTTTCTTATTCGATCATCGGTGCAATTGAGACAATGCCTGATGCAATGATAAGACGCTCGATGTTGTTTTTTATTCTTCTGGTTCAAATTGCGCGAGGACAAGTCAGTTACTCCATTCCCGAAGAAAGGGCAAAAGGATCGATGGTGGGAAATATTGCGCAGGATTTGGGCTTGGATTTACAACGACTGAAATCAGGAAAAGCGAGAATTTATACAAGAGACAGTACGCAATACATCGAACTGAACAGAAACACTGGACTGCTGCTTATCAGAGAGAAAATGGATCGCGAATCTCTTTGTGCAAAAACAACTCCGTGTGCTTTACAACTTCAAATGATTTTGGAAAACCCGATGGAATTCTACACGATTACAATAGAAATCACGGACATAAATGATAACGCTCCGAGTTTCCAGAAAACGGACATTAAATTTGAGATCATCGAATCGGCGGTTGCGGGTGCTGGTTTTATGCTTGGGGGAGCTTTCGATGCGGACGTAGGAACAAATGATCTTCAAAGCTACTCGCTGAAACCGACTGACAAATTCCGGCTAGAATTGCACAATCAGGCAGACGGCAGTAAAAACGTCGAGATGATTTTAGAAAGGCCACTTGATAGAGAAACGCAAAGCTTATTTACTTTGTTGTTAGAAGCGTTTGATGGAGGCGATCCGGTGCTTTCTGGCACTGTACAGATACACATCACTGTGTTAGACATTAATGATAATTCGCCTAGTATTAATATTGTGTCTAGTTCCCATTCAATATCTGAAGGGTCAAAGTCTGGGACTGTTGTCTCAGTCCTAAATGTTGATGATCTTGATTCAGGTTCAAATGGTCAGGTTCAGTGCGTCTTAAATGACGACATTTCCTTTTCTATTACTTCTCCGTCTAGCAATTTCTTTAGCCTGCAAACAGAGCAGGAATTGGACAGAGAGCGAGAAGCTGAGTACAATATCAGTGTAATATGTACTGATGAGGGAGTGCCAGCGCTCTCCAGCAGTGTCTCTCTTCGTGTGCGTTTCTTTGTGCAAAAACGACCCCATGCGCTTTGCACCTTCAGATGATTTTGGAAAACCCCATGGAATTATACACGATTACGGTTGAAATTACTGATATAAACGATAATCCACCCACGTTCCAGAAAAAGCTAATTGAGTTTGAAATCAGTGAATCTGCCGTAACAGGCGCGAGATTTATGTTAGAAAGAACTGTGGATGCGGACGTAGTGTAACGGCCAAAACTATGTTTTTGCATGCATCACATTATAGTGCGGTGTGCCCTTTAAGAGACTGATCACTTAACTTATAACGTGCGCTATGTGGTGATGACGTAGAAGGACTACGTGACTGTGTAATGAGAACCACTATGGATGATAAGTTCGCTCTGCCTTCTTGTTATTACTTTGTCTTTACTTTTATTTGTAACGCCAAGAAAGAGTTAATCTCTAATGTATGAGAGGAGCGCGTTGCCGTGTACCAGCCATTAAATGTGTGGGACCCCAACTGTTCGTTTTCCATCTCTTTCATTTCATGGGTTTAACGAGTTATCCGAGTCAAAGCGTTACAGTAGGAGTTGATGATCTTCAAAGCTATTCACTTAAACCGATTGATAATTTTGTCCTTGAACTGCACAGTCAAGCAGACGGGGATAAAAACGTTGAAATGATTTTGCAAAGACCTCTTGATAGAGAAAAGAAAGGAGTTGTTACGTTATTGCTAACCGCTTTTGATGGCGGTGATCCGCAGTTATCTGGAACTGTTCAAATACACGTTACTGTATTAGACATTAATGATAATGCTCCTGTATTTACGCAGAAGGTATATAAAGCCATTTTAACTGAAAATGCACTGAAAGGGTCTAAATTGACCACAGTCAGTGCCACTGACGTAGATGATGGATCTAATGGTTATGTGACGTACTACATTGCAAGCAAAGATGATATTGTGCGAAACATGTTTATTATTGATCTGTATAGTGGCGAGGTAACTTTAAATGGCCTCGTTGACTTTGAAAGAGCAAGTCGATACCAGCTTGATATCCAGGCTAAAGATCAAGGAGGGCTTTCTGATTCCTGTAAGCTGATTATTGATGTGTTGGACATTAATGATAACAAACCAGTGATAAGCTTACTCTCCATGTCAAACTCTGTGTCTGAGGACTCCACACCAGGCACAGTTGTTGCTATGATGAAAGTAGATGATGCAGACTCAGGTGTGAATGGCCAGATTCACTGCATCATAAACGACAACATTCCATTTGCTCTTACATCACCATCTAGTAATTTCATCAGCCTGCGTATAGAGCAGCAACTGGACAGAGAGAGAGATGCTGAATACAATATCAGTGTAACATGCTCTGATCAGGGGGTGCCTGTGCTCTCTAGCAGTGCCTCTCTGTTTTTACAGATATCAGATGTGAATGACAATGCTCCTGTATTTGAGAAAAGTCACTATGAGGCCTGTGTGCTGGAGAATAACAAACCTGGTCTCTCAATATTTACAGTTAAAGCCAGTGATGCTGATTGGAATCAGAATGCCCGTGTTTCTTATATTCTAGAAGACAGCACTGTTAATGGAGTCTCTGTCTCATCATATGTGTCAGTTCATCCTGACAGCGGACTGATTACAGCTGTGTGCTCTTTTGACTATGAGCAGTTGAAAGATTTCCTCTTCCGGGTAAAAGCGCAAGATGGAGGCTCTCCTCTGCTCAGCAGTAACGTGACAGTGAAAATTTCTATGAAAGACCAGAATGACAACGCTCCTCAGGTTCTGTATCCAGTACAGACTGGTGCTTCTGTGGTGGCTGAGATTATGCCTCGTGCTGCAGATGTTGGATATCTTTGCCCGTGTTTCTTATATTCTAGAAGACAGCACTGTTAATGGAGTCCCTGTCTCATCATATGTGTCAGTTCATCCTGACAGCGGACTGATTACAGCTGTGTGCTCTTTTGACTATGAGCAGTTGAAAGATTTCCTCTTCCGGGTAAAAGCGCAAGATGGAGTCTCTCCTCTGCTCAGCAGTAACGTGACAGTGAAAATTTCTATGAAAGACCAGAATGACAACGCTCCTCAGGTTCTGTATCCAGTAAAGACTGGTGCTTCTGTGGTGGCTGAGATTGTGCCTCGTGCTGCAGATGTTGGATATCTGGTCACTAAAGTGGTGGCTGTTGATGTGGACTCTGGACAGAATGCCTGGCTCTCCTATAAACTACAGAAAGCTACAGACAGAGCGCTGTTTGAAGTGGGTTTACAGAATGGAGAAATAAGAACTGTGCGACAAGTGACTGATAAAGATGCTGTCAAACAAAAGCTGACTGTTGTTGTGGAGGATAATGGACAGCCCTCTCGCTCAGCTGTGGTCTTCATTAACGTGGCTGTGGCTGACAGCTTTCCCGAAGTGCTGTCAGAATTCACAGACTTTACGCATGAAAAACTTTACGACGAGAACCTGACTTTTTATTTAGTTCTTTCACTAGCTGCTGTTTCTCTCTTATTTATATATTGCATGGTTGTCATAATATCAGTAAAGATCTACAGATGGAGACAATCTCGCTTCTTATATCAGCCCAATCTGCCTGTTATCCCGTACTATCCATCACATTACGCAGACACAGGAGTCACTGGAACTCTGCCGCACGGGTATAATTATGAAGTGTGCATGACGACTGACTCGAGGAAGAGTGACTGTAAGTTTTCAACACTCGGTGGACAGAATGTTTTAGTGGTGGACCCGAGTTTCACTGAGACGATGCAGCGCGCAATCAAGGCAAATAACGGTTTGGAAAGTGAATATTCGACATTGGTAAAAACAATGCTTTATTCTTCACAAAACAAACAAAATCGAAATGTACAAAAACATTGTTAAACAAATTATATGAAACATTAATTTTAAACATTATGAACATGATCGTTTTTATTATCTGTAGTAGTCATGCTAAAGTTTAGATTACTTTCAGCACCACATCTTGGACAGCGCCATAGTGTAGGCTTGTCAGTTTATGAAATCAAACAGTAACGGTCAAATTATTTATTTCCATTAGCTAAATCAAAACCCTACCACAAGAATAACTTGATTTTTAAAAATAGCATTACTACTACTGTTAATTATTTTATTTTTTTCCCACAAATTTTTGAAAAAAATATTTTCTGCAAAAAATGAATTTACTTTATTGTAGTGCTTGGTTTAGACTCACAGGGCCGCTGTTTGTCAATTTAGCACTTTGTCTGTGTGTATTTTAAACCCTGCCCCATCATCCCATATTCACAGTGAGAGAGGAAAGGAGGAAACGCTTCCAAATCGCTCATTATTGTCGAGTGTCTTGAAACAAACGCGACATTTTGTACTTACTCTGATCTAAGGAACTTGAATTTACTATTTTCCCATTAAAATACATCACTTCGAAATCGTTAAGAACCTTTTTTCTTTATGGTTTGTCGGTTATTTCAAAGAAAAAAATGCATGGTGTCGTGATGTTGTACTCGGTATTGTTCTCCGTCGTCCTGCTTCATTCGGCACGAGGACAGGTCAGTTACTCCATTCCAGAAGAAATGGCTAAAGGCTCTATTGTGGGAAATATCGCACAAGATTTGGGCTTGGATTTACAACGGCTGAGGTCAGGAAAAGCGCGCATATATACAGGCGACAGTACTGAATATACTGCTCTCAATAAAGACACTGGCTTCCTGCTCATCAAAGAGAAAATGGATCGCGAGTTTCTTTGTGCAAAAACGACCCCATGCGCTTTGCACCTTCAGATGATTTTGGAAAACCCCATGGAATTATACACGATTACGGTTGAAATTACGGATATAAACGATAATCCACCCACGTTCCAGAAAAAACGAATTGAGTTTGAAATCAGTGAATCCGCCGTAACAGGCGCGAGATTCTTGTTGGAGGGAGCCGTGGATGCGGACGTAGGAGTTGATGATCTTCAAAGCTATTCACTTAAACCGACTGATAATTTTGTCCTTGAACTGCACAGTCAAGCAGGTGGGGATAAAAAAGTAGAAATGGTTTTGCAAAAACCGCTTGATAGAGAAAAGAAAGGAGTTGTTACGTTATTGCTAACCGCTTTTGATGGCGGTGATCCGCAGTTATCTGGAACTGTTCAAATACACGTTACTGTATTAGACATTAATGATAATGCTCCTGTATTTACGCAGAAGGTATATAAAGCCATTTTAACTGAAAATGCACTGAAAGGGTCTAAATTGACCACAGTCAGTGCCACTGACGTAGATGATGGATCTAATGGTTATGTGACGTACTACATTGCAAGCAAAGATGATATTGTGCGAAACATGTTTATTATTGATCAGTATAGTGGCGAGGTAACTTTAAATGGCCTCGTTGACTTTGAAAAGGCAAGTCACTACCAGATTGATATCCAGGCTAAAGATCAAGGGGGGCTTTCTGATTCCTGTAAGCTGATTATTGATGTGTTGGACATTAATGATAACAAACCAGTGATAAGCTTACTCTCCATGTCAAACTCTGTGTCTGAGGACTCCACACCAGGCACAGTTGTTGCTATGATGAAAGTAGATGATGCAGACTCAGGTGTGAATGGCCAGATTCACTGCATCATAAACGACAACATTCCATTTGCTCTTACATCACCATCTAGTAATTTCATCAGCCTGCGTATAGAGCAGCAACTGGACAGAGAGAGAGATGCTGAATACAATATCAGTGTAACATGCTCTGATCAGGGGGTGCCTGTGCTCTCTAGCAGTGCCTCTCTGTTTTTACAGATATCAGATGTGAATGACAATGCTCCTGTATTTGAGAAAAGTCACTATGAGGCCTGTGTGCTGGAGAATAACAAACCTGGTCTCTCAATATTTACAGTTAAAGCCAGTGATGCTGATTGGAATCAGAATGCCCGTGTTTCTTATATTCTAGAAGACAGCACTGTTAATGGAGTCTCTGTCTCATCATATGTGTCAGTTCACCCTGACAGCGGACTGATCACAGCTGTGCGCTCTTTTGACTACGAACAGTTGAAAGATTTCCACTTCCGGGTAAAAGCGCAAGATGGAGGCTCTCCTCCACTCAGCAGTAACGTGACGGTGAAAATTACTATTAAAGACCAGAATGACAACGCTCCTCAGGTTCTGTATCCAGTACAGACTGGTGCTTCTGTGGTGGCTGAGATTGTGCCTCGTGCTGCAGATGTTGGATATCTGGTCACTAAAGTGGTGGCTGTTGATGTGGACTCTGGACAGAATGCCTGGCTCTCCTATAAACTACAGAAAGCTACAGACAGAGCGCTGTTTGAAGTGGGTTTACAGAATGGTGAAATAAGAACTGTGCGACAAGTGACTGATAAAGATGCAGTCAAACAAAAACTCACTGTTGTTGTGGAGGATAATGGACAGCCTTCTCGCTCAGCTGTGGTCTCCATTAATGTGGCTGTGGCTGACAGCTTTCCTGAAGTGCTGTCAGAATTCACTGACTTTACTCATGAAAAACAATATGACGACAACCTGACTTTTTATTTAATCTTGGCTCTCACAGTGGTCTCCCTGCTCTTCATAGTCTCAGTTATATCAATCATTTCAGTGAAAATCTACAGATGGAGGCAGAATAAACTATTTTATAAATCCGGGGCAAATCTACCTGTAATTCCATATTATCCTCCAGTCTACGCAGACGGCACATTGCAGCATGTGTATAATTATGAAATGTGCGGGACGACTGATTCAAGAATGAGTGACATGAAGATTGTCAGGCCCTACAGTCAGAACACACTGGTGAGCCAGAGTCGTATGGGGACAGTTCAGAGAGAAAAGAAGGAGCAGGAGGTTGATGACCTGACTTTAGAGGTGAGACCTTGTTTGATGTTTTAAAATCATCTCATCGGGCTTCATTTAATAAGAGCCCATGGAGTATTGTAACACTTTTTGCTTTAATGTCTATAGCTCAAACTATTATGTCATTTTCCCACCTTTATTCACTACAGCTTAAAGTTGTTTTGAAATCTGTCTTCTCCTTAAAAAAAAATTCCAATAATTGGAAAAGCAATATTGAACAAATGCATAAAACATTATAACAAACACTCTTACAGTTTTGTTTAATGTAGGTCTATACATTGTGCCGTTTTGTGACGTCTTTGTTAGTCCAGTAGAAGTACACTAGAAATGTATTTATATTTATACATTTTTATTTTAGGTGAATGTTTTGAGGAGATGTTATATATCAAATTAGACAAGAGAATCTGCTGAATTAGTTATGTTCTGTTATGTACATGTACTTGATTGTAAATCAAATGGTAAAGCAGAAGTGAAATGCTGGTTTTCATACAGCAAGATTATTATTATTATTATTATTATTATTATTATTATATAAATTCTTAAAATTCTTCATTTTACACCATGTTTCAAATGCTGCTGTCACATCAGAAAGATGATGGTCATGTATGATGGTGATTTCGCCACTGTTAAAATGAGTCCACTCAGAAATGAAAATTCTGTAATTATTTTTTACCCTCATACTCTTTAGTTTCTATGTTACTTACTTTCTTTTGTGGAGCTTAAAATAAGATATTTTGAAAAATGTCTATCTGTCTTTTTATACCCATACAATGAAAGTCAATGGGCCCCAATGTTATTTGGTTTCTAACATTCTTCAGAAAATCTTCTTTTGTATTCCACAAAAGAAAACAAACAAAAAACTAAATAAAAATATACAGGTTTGGTACCACATGAGCGTGAGTAAATGATTACAGAATTTGCATTTTTGGGGGAATATCCCTTTAATAATTAGTTAAACTAACTAGATAACTGTCTGCCCTGTTTGAGGTTTTCAGATTTATGAAGCATTTGTCACAATCCTCTTTGCCCTCTCACACTTTGCTCTTATAAGGTGTGGCATATTATCAGAGTGCACAACCTTTTATATGAAATGTTTAACTATTTTAAAGTTTAAGTCCTTGACAGTATATATATATATATTTTTTTTTTTTTATGATTATTTATTTATTTATTTTTTTCTCCGTAGTACTGTATTTGGACTCTAAGTGCCGCTGTTCAACTTATTAAGCAAGTGTGTTTTTTTATCCCTCCCCTTAACAAAACCCAAAGCAATGAATGGCATACATTCATGCATCATCAACCGCTAACCCTCGATACTATATAACAACCAAATCACGTTCACCTTAGTCGCCAATTTCTTTAACCCACATGAAGACGCAATTCGTTGGAAACATATACTGTAATTCATCGCACATTTTGCTTTGAATGCTTCTGCTCGGTCTTTGTTGATCAAAAATGGAGTCGGAAGGGAAAGGCTGGCATTATGGATCACTATTCTTCTATACAGCGTGCGCGGTAGCTTTATTTTCCCCTCGCGTGACCGGACAGATTCGTTATTCTATACCTGAGGAAATGCCAGAGGGCTCGTTTGTTGGAAATATTGCCTCGGACCTGGGACTTGAGCCAAAAAGACTGATTTCAGGAAAAGCGCGTGTTTTCACCGCGGACAGCAGTGAGTACATTGGACTGGACAAGGAGAACGGACATCTGGTTGTTAAGAATAAAATAGACAGAGAAGAGCTATGCGGAGAGATATCTGCCTGTAGTGTGAGTTTTGATGTCATTTTTGAGAATCCGATGGAGCTTTACCGAGTTACGGTTGACATACAGGACATAAATGACAACAGCCCAGTGTTTCCGAAATCTCAAATTGAACAAGAAATTAGCGAATTAGCGGTTTTAGGTGCGCGATTTCCATTAGAGAG